CTAGATATGATCGATCGCTTGAATCGCTGCAGGGGTCTATTGAGTTCTTCTCTTACTCCTTTTATAACTGGATGGCACTATTGTAGGCCCGCATATTGGCAAGGACATCGCCACGGCCCACGGATAAGACCTAACAGTTCAGGAATTAATCGGGAATGGAGGGTGATGTAATTCACTGCTATACCGAAGAATGGGATTCAAATATCCGATATCTTACTGCTAATCAAACACATATTGCCTGAAAGCAGCAGTTAGTTTTTGTCCTGTGTTGCATAGGATCCCAGTGATATGGGTAACGAGGTACACAATCCTCTCTACAGGATGAACAGTAGCGAAATTACGGAGCACAACGCACAAGTTGCCCAATGATGCCCGTGACAATACCTTTGAACCCAATACTTAACCTTTCGACAACATGGACATGATTGAAAAAGTCACAACCGGACGTTGCCCGACCTTCGACAAAAAAAGTATCCTTTTTGCGCAACCATATATAATGAAATTACAACCATCAGATTTCATATTGTTATGATGATATATCAGTCATGGAGGAATTTCACCTTCTCACAACCCACTCGCTTAGATACAAGCCCAGAGAAGGTGTGGTAAATCATTTAATAGATACAATTATCTATAGAATGAAGATCAACCTTAAATTGGAGGTGAGTTTCTTCAACCCACAAAGTCGAATTGTTAAGCGAAGGCATCAAAATCGGAAATGGCTGTCAAGGGAGCATAGCATCAGATACGGTTGTTAGGTATCATTGCTTTCCGTCCGTTGCGGCCTCACCGACTCGATACCTAACCGGTAGGGTGGTGCATACCTAAAGTGCCTCGTACCCTTGACTTGATTAGGATGAGGACGGCAATGATGGTATGCGGCTATCAGAATCAACACTGTAAAGTGGGGAGCTTGACAACAACTTCCATCCAGGTTGTACAGCAGCCTGCATTATCCCCGGTCAGGGTGCAAAAGACCAACTCATTGCCGCAGATATGCTTGATCGAAGGACCCGTGCATACTCTGCAAGCGATGTATACACACTGGAGTAAAGAGGGCATTCCTGAAATACAAGAGCCCGAAGGTGGTTTGGTTGGATTAGAAATGTAACAAACGTACCCATCAAGCAGAACCATGGCTGATAAAAAGGCTGTAGTAGAGACGACCTAACTTCAACTTTCTGCCAGCCATGGATAGATCTAGTGCCTTGCTCGATGTTTAAAATGAAGCTCAATGCACTGACAACAAGTTACACCGTACACCGACCAACGATCCCGCGGGAGAATGGGACCATTTGGAAAGTGAGCTGCCAATCGCCGCATACGTTGATGACAGGGCTCCTTGAGTGTGTACTTGGCGCTAAAACCTGGGGAAGCAACATGGTTGGATCGGGAGAGAACCTAGAGAGACATCAGCATATACTCCGCGAAATCGTAGATGTGTTCTAAGAGATGAATAACCCTAAGGATATGATTGGACTCTTCTTGTCCCCAAAATATCTGTTGTGAGTTGCGGGAACGAAGGGCGGGGGCAACCTTCTACGGCACGGTACATGGCATGTTGTACCGCAAAAAGTACATTTATCTTGCTCAAACGGCTGGGTCTGTGATGGTGCGTCGTGGCAAGCTTGCATACTTCGAAACTTAGCGGCCGCTTCCATGCTTGTGCTGGCATTTCCACCGCTCATTCGAAGTCGGGATGCTGACCAGACCGGATGCCATCCTCGATGTAACTGCCAGGTTTAGAGGCACACTTTACAAAAATAGCCCAAATCCCATATCTGAAGAATTTCCCAGGCAGCAAGGTAACGAGACACGGACCCCCGTCCCGGAATGAAGACAGATGTCAAGGGTGCCTGGAGCCAACAACCCCATTCAAAGAAAGATAAAAAGAAAAAAGCAAAGACCTCAGGCCAATCCATATTTTGGCCGTGCGACTTTCCTTTCCTATTTCTTCGAGAGGGCAAGCAAGGCACGGAAAAGAAATACGGAGTGAAAGAGAGAGAGAGGGATATAGTAACTAAGCCTTTCTCCGCATTTCCAGCCTCCTGACTACGTGCTCCGTATCCGCGACCGTAATATTTGATAACTGGCCCAGAGCGAGAATTTTTTTTTTGGTTGATGATGTGGGGAGTATGACGAGAAATCAGATTGAAACTTCGTCTGTGTGTTTTTTTGGGGATGCTTGTTTCTTTTTCGTCGAGAGGTTCAAGGGCGGCGGTGATCAGAGTTCCCCGTCTGCATTCATTGGACTTGAAGGTTCGATCAGCGTTTATGACTCTCTTCCCGAGTCTCTCTCTCACAGGCAAAGCGAGAGAGGCAAGAAGATAGACAGGGTGTTCGTTTGCTCCCGGTTGCCTCTCGTAGTTATGATAAGGGCGAAATCTATAACGGACAGACCCTACGGCTGCACGCTGCGCAGGATGCACAGGTTCTGGGCCTTGTGTCAGTGAGTGATTGAGAAGTTAGAGACTCCGGACTCCTTTGATTGGACCATATATCGGGTGCTGGAGGTTCTCCACCCACGTCGTCGTGCATATATCGAGAGGGATGCACCTAGGAAATGCCACCATGTACCTTGCAATCTGATGCGTCGTCAAAGATGCACAAAACACTAATCTCGTTAGCCGACAGCAGCTTTACTCTGAACGCCTCCTTCTGCTGTCAGTTCCCTAGCACAAGCAAATGCAAATGGGATGGACGTTTCCCGTCAACTTTCGAGACAAACCATCCGCCCAGCTGTTCTCCGTACTAGGCCTGCTGTATCCCCGCCCTTTCTTCCCGCGGCTCGTTTCTCGGGAGGGCGTCGGGTCAGGTCACTGGTACCGGCTCGCGAACGAGGATGCAGCGCCAAAGACAGCGAGTTGTTGGGCGAAGAACGAAGTAGCGGTGACCCCTCAGTGGAACCTCCAAGGCAGCGGGTAGCCCTGCCTGACGCAACCCTATTTGTTTAGAATTTCGAAGGTTTCTGCAAGACGTATTCCAATCAGAAAATAGAAATCGGCGAATATTTAGGCGTGGTTGAGTATTCAGGGGAGTGAGGAGGCCAGCCATTCGTCCAGAGCAGTTGCTATTATTCGATGTCTATCTGGGACAAGACAACATAGGGTTTCCAGGTTGCCTTTCCATCGTTTGATGCTTGAGCTGCTGCAAGCCATTGAACTGAATCCCCGCTGTCCATCACATAATATTTGGTCCCTCTTCCTCCTCCTTTTCATCGATTTCTCCTTTTTCTCTCCTCTCCTCCTCTTCTGTTCTCTCTCCCTGGGCTTCCCTCTCCCTCCCGTGTCCTGCTCTGCTGGCCCTCCCCAAGTCTCACAGGGGCGCTCCCATGCTCTGTACAACAACCGACCTTGCTCGATTTCGCTTCGTTCGACGACCGGCTCTGTCTGTTTCCATGCTCTCTCACCGTTCTGGCTTGGAGAGATAAAACCGTATGTATATTAGCCCCTCCGGGCAGTTTCTCCCGCCTGTTCAGCCTTATGACTCCTTAAAGCGGATCTCTGAGACGCCCTTGCTCACTCCTTATTTTTCGCCAGACACCATCCACCCTTGGAACGACCCTCTGGTCACAATTGACCCGCCCCAGCGCTGCCTCATACCAGCACCGTTTACCCCGCCAAAAGAAGCCCAAGAGGGAGACCGTAAATCCAGCACCGGCACTGTGTAAGCCAACAGAAGAAGGAAAAGGCTGATCCGAGCCTTGATTTCTGGTTTGACAGCGGCAGAGCGGTTGAATCAACCAGCCAGGGCGCTGGCTGAACGGGATCTGCCGCCTCCGAACTCCAGCCCAAGTCCTTCAGTTATTTCACCATTCCCACCCTGTTAACCGAATAATAAGGATCTCTGCAGCCGTAAGTTCGTCCCCGATTTCGCCTCTTCCTCTTGTCCTTTTGCCTTCGTCCTTTTCGCCATCCGGCGTCTCTGTGCTGGCCTGCGGTTGACTTCCCGGGCGTTGTTCCCAACTTTCATCCTCGTTTGGCTTTTTTTTTTTTGCCGTGACGCGGGAAGAAGCTCACCGCTTTCGAACCTCCCCTGAAATCTATTTCAGGCGCCAGAAAACCTCCGGGCGTCTCCATCTCGACGACGTCCCGCTCCCCAGCACTGATGTTTGATATATATATGTCTTGCGTATAATAACGTGTTGATTTGTTTTTCCTCGTCTGCGTGTATATACGTTCCTTTTTTTTTTTGTTTTTGTTTTTGCGTCATGTCTGACCATGTTCGCGGTCTTTCGAGAGCAGATGCCCGGGAATATGGCCTTTAGAAACAGCTTCAGTGGGAAACTCGACGACTTCGTTGGCCCTTCTCCTCAGTCTCCTCCGTCAGAATCGCCCTTCTCTGCGTTCCCATCGCCCCAGGGAAGCCAGAAAGGCTTCGTGCACAGTATCAACGCGCAGCCGTCAACCAGCGAGGTCCGTTCGACCATGCAGCGTCGTTTTACCACTGAGTCGGCCGTGCTGCCGCAGTGGAATGGTTTCAATCAGCAACCACTGAAGCAGACCGAGCAGCTGGATATATTGTCGTCGGTGAGTTTGAATACGCGCTTTGTCCTGGCCCTCGGATGGCGTGATCGAGATGTCAGGTCAAAAGTGAAGCTGGATATCAGGCTGTCCTCACTTTGATATTGTCATTTTTTGGCCAATTCACTAGGAGACCCGATAGACTAACTAATTGTTGCTTGAATAGGCAACCCACCTCCATAAATCCCAGCTTGTGAGCAGAAAACCCTCCTCACTTTCTGTCCTCCTACCCACATCTCGCCTCGCCTTAAATTCCCCCTCCTCCCTCTCCCTCTTCCCCTCCTAACTCCCTCTCTCGATCTCTCCTTTTCTTCCATCTTTTCTCTTACCGTTGTCCTACCTTTCTCTCTCCTTTAACCTGCCTGCCTTCCTTTTCTCCTTGTTTAGAAGATCACTGCTTTCCATAACGCTTCTGCCTTACCATACTCCTTCTAACAAACTTCCTAGTTTGAGAAGAAACGACAGCATATTGAATATATGCGGGAACAAAAACGCCGATTTGAAGCAGACTTGAAAATCCTTGACCTCCAGCAGGAAAAGGAACGTCAGGAGATGGACCAGATTGCCAGAGACCTTGCTCAGGTCGGTCTCAGTGGCCCGGTTAGCGAGCCTACCACTCCTCCAGAATACTATCGAGACAGCGGTTTTCCTACTGCTCTATCTCGTCCAGCTCGGTTTTCTATTTCAAATGGACAACCCGTGTCACCATTTGGAAGTGTTTTCTCTCCTACTTCCCAAGTGACATCCCCCGCTACCAACCAATCTTCTAACCAGGACTTTGCCAACCGTACTGGCATGGGGATGGGTCTGCGTCGAAACTCGGAGCAGACTTACGGAGCTGCTTTCACAGGCTTTAGAGCTGGTCATGCGTGAGTTTCTCTTACTGACTTGCAACTTCCACTTACTTATGATTATCCTTTACCGGACCTACAGAAGCCGCTACTCCTTATCAAACAACGTCTTCGGATCAGCCTTGCCACCAGTCTCCTCTCGTACCAACGGATTCAATAACCATATGGGTTTCAGTTCACTTTTCTCTTCGAAGAATCCGTTGGAGTCTGAAGAGGATAAATCCAAGAACGAAGACCGTGTTTCTACTCCAGATGTGAAGAGCTACCTTCGCATGACAGACCCTGATGACAAATTCCCTACCTTAGTGCGTAGGGATGGTAACCCATCAGTTGTAAGTTCTTTCTTCTCATCCTTTGTAGTTTCCTGAGCTACTGCTGACCCACTTTCTTCCTTTAACCTTAAATAGCTCTCAGCCAATTCTGCAGCGGTTGATTTTGCAAACTCCCGCACTCCTGTCCCTGAGAACTATAATGGTAATGGTCGTCATCATGCCGTTCACCACAGCATGCCGCAAAACACTTTGTCCTGGTGGTCTGATAACTCAGCTGAAAATCCCCCACAAACTAATGGAAATGGTAATGGGAATATCCAGTCTCTGCGTCATGTGAACCGTCTTTCTCTAGAGAGCAACCTTTCTGGCCTCGGTGCTCTTGCTTCTGCTGCCCACCAGCAAAACCATACCTCTGGACACCATAGGCCAACCTCCTTACAGCTCTCTTACTCAACAAATGATCTTCCTGCCACTCAAAATGGATTTCAAAGCGATTCTGCCACTGGAACACGGGCCGAAGTTACCCAGAACAACTACCAAACTCATAGCCGGATGCATTCTCGTGGTGGCTCCGCAAACACCACTCCACCCACCCCTCAGTCCTCTTCTGACCGTGAGGAACCTGGCCCTAGCATTCCGACTTTCCAGTCTGCTTTCCAACCCAATGCCATGTCCCACGCCCTGGTCTTGACATCTCCAACCACCGTTGCTCCATCGGTCGTTAACGGGTCTGCTACCCCTACACCAAGCACCTATGCAACACCAGTTTATGGATATAGCATGCAAGCATATGCCCCAGCGCCATTGCAGCTCAATGGGAACTATGCTGGCGTCCAGAGTCATCCGATGTTCGGAGCATTTGGAATGGCGCCACAGCCACCTCAGCCAAACAACTACGGTAGATTCGCAGAGAGCCCTCGTACTGCTACTCAAAACCGTCGTAATGGAGATTCTGAGAACCCATTGAACCGCTTTGGCAATGTTCCTCTCGAGAATTACTCTGGGGAAATCTATGGAATGTGTAAGGACCAGCATGGATGTCGGTACCTTCAGAGAAAGCTCGAAGAGGGTGTGCCTGAGCATGTTCAAATCATCTTCCGTGAAACTCAAATGCACGTCGTCGAGCTCATGACCGGTATGCACTCGCCACCTTGTTCATTTCGTTTCCATGTTTGATTATTCTAACTATTGAGTCCAGATCCATTTGGTAACTACCTATGTCAAAAACTGCTTGAATTCACCAACGATGAGCAACGTACAGGTCTTATCAACATTGCTGCCCCTCATTTGGTTCAGATCGCTTTGAACCAGCATGGAACTCGAGCTCTCCAAAAGATGATTGAGTTTATTTCTACCCCTGAACAGGTACGACACCTTTATTGACATGTCATAGTTGATTACTAATCATCTTTAGATCCAAACTGTTATCCATGCCCTTAGTGGCCAAGTCGTCGAGCTTGTCCAAGACCTCAATGGCAACCATGTGATCCAGAAATGCTTGAACCGCCTATCAGCTCCAGATGCTCAGGTAGCTACTTCTCATTTCCAGAAACTTTCTCTTGAGTATTTACTTATTTTATGCAGTTTATTTATGATGCAGTTGGCAAAGAGTGTGTTGCCGTTGGAACTCACCGCCACGGTTGCTGTGTTCTTCAGAGATGCATTGACCATGCTTCTGGCGATCAGCGCGCAAAGTTGATTGAGCAGATTACCAAGAGCTCTTACTCCCTCGTTCAGGACCCGTTCGGCAACTACGTCATCCAGTACATCTGTATGTTGACTCCTGTACCCTGTCATGCTTCATCATTCTAACTTTGATACAGTGGATCTTGGAGAACCCCTTTTCACTGGACCACTTTGTGCAACTTTCCAGGGAAGCATCCCCGCTCTCTCAAAGCAAAAATTCAGCTCCAACGTCATTGAGAAGTGTATCCGTACTTCAGACTTCAATATGCGTAGAGCTTTTATTAAGGAGATGTTGTCTCCTCATGAGCTTCCAAACATGCTCCGTGACTCCTTTGCAAACTATGTCATCCAGACTGCTATGGACTTTGCTGATCCCGAGTCTCGCAATACTCTGATTGAAGCTGTCCGTCCCTTGCTGCCTGGAATTCGCTCGCAACCACATGGACGTCGAATTGCAGGAAAGATCATGACTCTTGACTCCCATGCTCGAAACAATGGCACAAACGGAACGAACCCAGGAGCTCCCTTGGCTCTTGATGAGGTACGAGGTGGCTTCTCACAGCCTTATACTCTTCCACCCAATCAATACAACTCACAGTTCAACTCCACTGAGGCCTCCGCCAACGCTCCATCCGCAGCCGTCTCCGAGTCCGAATTTATTGAAGCTCGCTCTACTCACAGCGAGAGTGGAGCTACCACCATTTTCAGCCCTGTTCCCCAGCACACCAACAACGCCATAAATGGTATCAATAACATGAACGGCATTAATGGCGTCAATGGCTCGAACCCTCATGGCTTCAACATGTTCTAACTCGGAGGAAAGCCAAATTGTATCAACACTTCGTTGCGTGGAGATTCAATGTCATGACTGCGCAATGTTTTCATTTCTCAACCCTGTAACACCAGCAAGATACGATGCCACGACTCACGATTTTACGGCTCTGATTTTAAAGAACATAAATTCTTACCGCGACAAGGACAGCATTATCGACAAGACTTGAAACACCAGATACACACAAAGTGCTTTCTCTACCTTCCGACTGCATACCGTTAAGAAGCATCTTCTTGGAATCTTTGATGATGCCATTTTTCTTTCATATTATGATTTTGATACATATCCATTCTCCAGTCCTTGGGACCATCTTGGGCTAACGAATTTGCATCTGCCTGGTATTGTCACAATCAACTTGGCATATTCAGTCTTCTAAGTGGGAGATATGGATGATATCACTTTACTTCTTATGTCCACCTTTTTGCCATAATGCCGATGCATAAATATGGCTTTTACATATTTTCCGCCCACCTCAAAATATCTCTTTCCCTCTCTTTTTTGCATTCCCTATTCTTGCGGGATTTCTTGTTTTATTTGTCCTTTTTAACCTTCGTCTCTATTTCCTTCTTCCCTTTGTGCATTCTTCTCTTTACTATGCTTACACTTTTCCCTTCTTCTGGACATTTAACCCTTCACGACAATTCTAACCGCAGCAATAATCAACATTCTAGGTCTTGGCTTATCCCTAAAAGCCATACTACGCGCAAGTGTTCTAAACACAGTGAGAATGTCGTCGGTTTCACAGCTCTCTCACTCTTTTGAGGAGCTCAGTCCATATTTATTCTACTTTGTGTTTTACTTGTTTTAACCCTTGTTTTCACTTTTCCATTTTCTTTCTAAGGGCTTTGCATACCCTTGCCATTACATATTGTTGACCCAAGTTCAATACCAAGTGTGGCTCCTGATGCCTTCTCGAACCTAGCCAGTCTTAACTAGGCTAGTCTCATTCGTCAAAGGTTAATGGCCCAAGGATATCCGCTGCATTTAACTCCACATGACATCTTCGACCACCTTTCATATTCTTCCCTTTTATGACCCTACAATCCTGCCCTGATATGCCCATGCAAGCAAATTATGTACCATCAGTTGTGTTCTGCATTGTTCTGCATTCATGTATCTATATGAGCCCCGACTTATCGATGCTCAATGTTACCAAGATGTTTTTTTAACCCTTGAACCCAGACCTAGCTTCCCACACACACTTCCCCATAGCAAGCCCACCTCGAGTTGTTTCTTCATACTGCAAGTTAAAGTTTGTTTTCATACAGTTTTGCAAGTTAGTTAGTTTCGCAAGTACAAATCAAAGACTACCGTTCGGTTTAGTTCTATGCTGTGCATCATGCTTAAGCTTAGCGGCCGCTCTGTACCGAAATTGCTATCATATCAAGGTGGTTATGGCTAAACCTTGCCTTGCGTATGCAGAGTACGCTTTTTAAGAGGCTACAGACCCATGCCATTAAAGTCTGATATCGTCCAGAGTTTGAATAGGTAACCTTAAATTGGAGGCGCGCGTTTAATTCAAACCTAATTTAAGTTTAATTTAACGCGCCAAGCTCAACGTCGTCAAGGACGCGAAATGTTGATGGAAGATTGAACGAATCTACCAAGTTCACCCTTTCATTTCTGCTACCGTTTGCTGAGGCTGCCTTTTTTTTGCCAATGTTGCCTAGCGACCTAGTGGTCTCTGTCTCTCGACAGTGGCCCTGCAGAGAACAGCAGGCGAGGCAGTTGGCCCATCTGCTATGTGTTCGTAAAATCGGAGAGCCAGGCTACCCGTTCAATGATTATCATTATGCTAACTGATTTATACTATTTCCAAATAGACCCCCTTCTCCCCCCCTCCGGCTGTAATAGTCCATGGCCCCAAGGGCTCTGGCAAATCAACAATTCTCAAATCCTTACTGCAAGTGTATGCTGAAAGTCAAGGGCATCGAGATGCGAAAGAGAACCGTAGCCCTCAAGCGATATCCGGAGCTAAAAGGCAGAAATTGGGCCATACCTCCGACAATGAAGTGAAAGGACACCGGTTTTGCTACGCAGTAGTGAATGTTGCTGAGTGTATATCAGCCAACCATCTCTTTATGAAGATTATATCGAACACCCTTGATGCTATGCAACAAGGTGCCACTGGCCGACCTGGTGATGAACGGACAAATATCGGCAGTTTACGTTGTGAGCATGTAAGCTCACTATCAGGGCTACTTGGGAGTATTCTAGGCAAATCCGAGTGTCGAAGATTTGTTCTTTTGTTAGACGGAATAGATGAGTTGCGGGAAGGAGGACAAATGTTGTTGGCAGCATTGTGCCAAATTGGTCAGATGGTATGTCGACTTGACTTATCCTCTGAAGCTACCCTACTAAATAATGGCCGGACATAAGCTAATGAGAGGTCGGTCTAATTTCTTTAGCTGCCTAATGCCTCGGTGGTTTTTACTTCAAAATTCTCCCCTCGCCCACTTCTCCTTCATGCAGCCGGCACACCCCATGTCTACTTCCCACCATACACACGAGCAGAAAGCATAGCTATTTTAGCTAACCTACCTCCGCCTGTTCTGCCTCATCTATCCGAAGCTACCGCTGCCAAGCTATACCCTCCATTCTTATCCACGTTGTATGATTCATTGATTGGCCCAACGGGGGGTACAGTATCTACTTTCCAATCAGCGTGTGAGAAAATATGGCCACGGTTTGTTGCACCTATAACAAACGATGAGACACCCCCTGGAGGGGTTGCGGTAGAATGGGACTTCCCACGGCTCCTTGTGAGGAACAGATCGCTATATCAACATCAGGGAGAGCTGCTGTTAAGCCATAGAATTGTTTCCGAGGACTTCACCGCTACCTTCAATACTCCGACTTTGGCAACAAAAGCTGCTCCCACTCTACCGTCTCTTCCATACCTACCAACCCTTGTGCTGACTGCTGCCTTTCTCGCGGCTCATATTCCCCCTCGCCTTGATTTATCTCTTTTCTCAAAGTTCACACCATCGGTCAAGCGCCGTCGAAGGCGGTTAAATACAACTATTCAACCAAAAGCATCTGCTAAAGCAGATGATGATCCAACAGATGACACTCCGAAAAAGGGTGGAAAAGCTGCAAGCCAGTCCAAGGCTCCTAAAGGAGCAACCAACAACACATCTATTCCTGGAGGAACACGTGGTGGTCGAAGCAGTTACTTTGTTAATCCTCACTCGTTTACTCTTGAGCGACTGTTAGCTGTTTATCGTGCTATAGATCCAAATCCCCCATTAGTCACAGATATCTCTCTGGCTGATACGATATTTCCAGAACTAGCAACGCTACAACGCCTCCGTCTCCTCATACCTGCTTCTGCAGGAGCAGCGGCAGCCGGAGGAGTTGTGGATGGGGCTGAAAAATGGTGTCTCAATATCAATGCAATGGTTAGCGCAGGAAATTCTATCAGTGATGAATGGGTTGTTGAGATGGCCCATGGGATAGGCGTAGAAGTTGAAGAATACTTGGGTCTAGGATAACTGGTTAATCAGGCATGGGGGCATCAAGGGATTTCCTTTTTTATGAGGATCTTCTCGTCTTCTACCACTTAGCAATGACGTAAAAAAAAAAAAAAAAAAAAAAAAAAAAAAAAAAAAAA